TTAGGGCTGTTGTACATAGGGTTGCTATGAGTCACAAGTGACTCGACGGCACATAACAACAACAACAACAATTTTCTATTAAGTTAGTAATCCTTATGGAAGCAAATTATTCCATATTTCCCTCACAGCTAGTGGATTTGATCCACAAACCTTTCATCAAGCTTTCTGAATCTGAGAATTCTTATCCCTTCTCTCCACACCTGTTTTCTTGAATTGCCTAGTCTTTTAGGTAACTGCAAATCATCTTTTAAAATAAATATAAAGAGAGTAAAACCCAATAAATAAAAAAAAACTATTGGATATTTCTAGAATGAAGTTTTCATCCTAGGTGCTTTTAGATATATCTAGGTGCTTTTGACGTTGGTATGTGTAATTCATGATGATATGACTGGTATGGGTAATTCATGATGGCTGTCCTATGAATGTTAGTGTGCTTTGCATAATATCCTTGGTCTCTGCCTTAGATTCCAATATTATTCGAGTTGCAACAACTGTAGATGCATCCAGACATTATTAGATATTATTTCGGGGGACAAAATCACTTTACAGTGAGAATAACTGATTTAGAATATTGAGTTTTAGCATGTTGTGAAAAACAAAAAAAGCCTGCAAAACATCACCAAGTGGCAGTAATAGTTAAACTTAACAGGACATGGAATTTTTTTCATAGCAGCTTCTTCCTAAAAATTAATAAATCTTCCCCTTTTCTTCTATGCATATTTGTGCACTGAAGCTGTCAAAATGAAAGAATATTGCTAAATAACTCAGAATTAGCCATTCTCGCCTTTGTAACTAGAAAACAGAGATACTTAAATGATACCGTATTTGGTATATTTTTAATGTCTTTTTATTGCAAATATAATCAGTTGAGCTCATAAACAATGTTTTTCTCAATATTAAAAAGCAAGCACGGTTTCAGGATGTATCTATTATTGGTCTTGTATTTCAGTTGAGAAGTAAAGAAAGAAACACTGCCGAAGAAAGACCAAATTTGGCCTCTTGGTGGCACTGTTTATTTTTAACAAAAATGATATTTCGACTCAGGACAATGCAGTTCTTGATGTATTATGCTTCTCAAAATATGTAGTTTTAAGTTCAATGAAATAAACCATTTTCAAGAGGATGTTGTTTCAATGGAAGGACAGTTGTACTGTCATTCTAACGACTCTGATGGCTGCGTCCCCACAATTTATTGTATGTTAGGTTGGCCCTAAAGTAAGGTTTGCAGGCTGGCAGCAGGGTGTAATTACCCAAACAAAAAGATACAGATACAGTATGTCATCCTCTCTCTGCTAATGACCACAACATTTTCTTGCCCAGTAATCTGTAACAAAAAGCCACATAAATGGTTAGGCGACACTTAGGCACAGCACTAAAGTAAAACTTGGTGGCAAAAAAAAAAAAAATAAAATTATTCCAGCCAATTGAGTGGAAATGACAAAGAATAATACCAAGTTATCTCTGCTAGGGAGATGTGTATTTGGAATGTCACCAATGGACAGTGCGTGGACCAGGCCACACTTCCTTTCAGGCACACCGCAATCTGTGTAAGTACCCGAACTCCCTTCTAAACGTGTCTGTGGTCTACAGCTGCCTCAGTGAATTTTCTAACAAGCACACCATTAAAGAAAGGTTTCCAGGGGGTATTATTTCCTTCAAAATATTTTATTTTGCAATCAGAGTAGAATATTTATCTCAATATTTATCAACTATCTTGACATTTTCCTGTCCTAATAGTTATTGAAACAATTTTTTTAAATCTTTTTTGTTTATGATTTTATTTCTTCCCAACATTGAAAAATTTGAAAGAGAGCTTTCTGAATTTTCTGTGCACACACACACACACACACACACACAAAGTAGAGAAAAATTTAGTCTTAATGATGTGCAGTTTTATAAAGAACAAAAATGAGCTTTTTCCAATTTTAGTCTACTTAGTGATTAGACTGTAATTTCTTAATTTGTTTTTATGAAACTAAAACAAAAAGCCAAGCCATAACTTCTGTAATTATGTCCCAATATTTCAACCAAATTTTATTACTTTTGGTAACTGGATTCCAAGGCATTGACAGTTTGCTTTGGTTTTCGTTCAGTCATGGCTTTCGTTTTCGTTCAGTCATGGCTTTCAGAGCTGATGACTTGCATTGCTACATCCACAAGCTCCTCCTTGTCTTTTCTTGGAACAAAGTTGTTCACAGTGAGTGAGTTCATGAAAGGTAGAATAATTCACTTGATCTTTGGTACAAACCGTTCACAAAACTTATTTGTCACAAGAACTCCTTAAATGTTCCTCACACGCTTGTATTTATTTGCCCAGTGTAGCTACTAGGTTAAGGAACCTGAGTTTGTCACTGTTTCTTAGTTTTACATATACAAAACAAAACAAAACAAAAAACAAATTGTCTTCAGGCCAGTTTCAGTTCATAGTGACTCTTCATTGAGTTTCTAAGACTATAAATTTGTTCGTGAGGAGACTACACAGCTTTCTCTCCTGGAGTAATTGATGGATTTGAAACAGTGACCTTGCAGCTAGCAGTCTGACACATTATATGCTATGCTGCCACGGCTCCTTTAGTTCCATGGAGCAAACCAGAAATAATACTTGTGAATTTTTCTTGATTTTGAGTAAGATTCCTTCTTCTCACAGTTCATCTTTTTTTCCCCCACAAAAATGAAGACATACAAATAAGAATAAAGTGCCAGATCAACATTTTGGGGAATAAAATAATTGAACTAAAGGTGGATGTTAGTAGCTCTTTCATCCACTACCTTCATTGAATAAATGATAAAACTAAACTCCAAAGAACTCTTAAACACAGCCAAAATTATGTTAGTTACTAATGACACAATTATGTTTTTGCTTTTGAATCCTATTAGTATTATCATTGCTCATCAAGGATGACAGGAGAAGGCTGGCTTCTGTGTTGTGGAGAATACCAAGATGTCCTCATAATAGATGCCAAAACTTTGGCCCCTGTTCATACTTTTACATCATCTCAGTCTCCTGATTGGATCAACTGTATGTGTATTGTTCATTCCGTGAGAATTCAAGGTAATAATTAAGAATTGTAGGACACTAAGACTTTTCATTCAGAGAACATCCACTTTGAAGAGTTTGTTAAATTATTGGTCAATAGTTAAGGATGCCTCTTTATGTTTACCTGGTAGTGGACATAGCTCAGAACAAGTAAAACTCAGAACACGAAAATCAGTGGTCCAATTTGTTGGAAATTGTGAGAGAAGATGGTGAAATGGCAAGGGGAAAATCTGGGTCTCCACGACCCAGTCCTACTTAGTACATTTTAAGAGTGATGAGGAGCTGTGTCTTTTGGATATAATAATGAAGATGATTCAGTGTCCGTAAAAAGTAAGGAACTATGGTGGCCTAGTAGTATGAAGCTGTGTTGCAATCCTGAAGGCACATGGTTTGAATCCACCAGCTACTCCATGGAAGAAGGATGGGCAGTCTCCTCCCGTGAGATAAATTATTTCTGAAAACCCACCCGTGAGTCAGCTATGGATCAGTTCCAACTTGATGGTATTCAACAACAAACAACAAGTGTTTATATAGGAAAAACAAGGCTGTTTGCTTCATTATTTCTGCATTTGAAAGGTGTGGTATTTCCACTACATTGTGAATGTTGCCATATGGTTCTGTTTCTACATACACGTTCTTATACATGGTGTTATTTGAAATTTTAAAGCAAATTTGGAACATGAGCTAAAATATTGCCTTTTTCATCAGTAAAATAAAGCAGAATGCTTGCCACCTACGCAGCCCTGCTTGGTCCTTAAATGACTAGCAGATAGTCTTTACAGGCACCAGTTCCAAGTGAGGTCTGCTGATATGTGACCTTTTTCCTTTTGACAGAAGATTCGCTCTTGGTGGTTTCAGTAGCTGGCGAGCTCAAAGTCTGGGATCTCTCTTCATCTATCAACAGCATTCAGGTTGGCTTGTGAATCCCGACTGTTTTTCATTCTTTTAAGTTATATTTAAAGATTATTAAGTAGCGAAAAGTGCATTGTTAAGTGTTCAAGTGATATGTTGTTGTTGGCCGTCAAACTGGAATCGACCCATGGCTGAGCCTCCGGCAAGTTTTCAGAGGCAGAGAATCACATAGGAAGAGACTGTCTGTCCTTTTCCCACAGATCATCTGGTGGACTCTAAACACATGCCTTTGGTATTAAAGTGCAGCTTCTTACTGCTAGGCCACCAGAGCTCCCTATTTTTGTATGTTGTTATTTTTTTTTGTGTACCGTCAAGTTGGAACTGACCCATAGCTGACCTGCCAGTGGGTTTTCAGAGACAGTTAATCACACAGGAGGAGATTGCCCATCGTTCTACAATGGAGCAACGGGTGGATTAGAACCATGTGCCTTTGGGATTGCAGTACAGCTTTCTGTCACTAAGCCACCAGTGCCATAGACTATTATCTATAAGAAATAATTAAAATAATATTATTGTGTAGTATTGTATTTTATTAGCCATATAATAATATTAAAATAATAAGAAGTGAGTAAAATTGTATCTTTTTAAAAATTTTGATCTCTCTGCCCAGAGAAAGGTATCGGTTATAACAATTGGATTGTATTCCTCCAGGTTTTTCTCTGTTCATTAGCAAATGTTTTTATCTACATAAATATACACATAAAGAAACTATCATAAAAGAATACTCACTGTCCGTACAGCAAAATGTCATTTTCCTTGGGGTGAGTGGGAGTAGAAATGACTATGATAAAACCAAGAGCCCTAACTCTTTGCCCTAACTGCAAATAATTAAGTACTTGACTAGTAGCTGAAAGTTTTGGTGGTTTGAACTGTCCTAGAGATACTTTAGAACACAGGACTGTGATACGTTTTTGAAATATCAAAAGCTTGGAAAACCCCGCGGATGAGTTCTGTTCTGCATACATGAGCCACCATGAGCTGGAATCGACTTGATGGCAATCAACAACAGCACTGAAAGGAGGTCTTCCATTAAGGGTGTAGCATGATATTCACTTGCTCCACCAGATCAAGCTGCAAGTTGAGATGAAGACAGACAAACAGCTGTAGGTAGTGTTCATGCTGGGGGCAGAATTGCTAGGTCAGTCCAAGGGAACACTGGGCTCTCTAGAAATGTTTTAGTTCAACAAACCATGATGTATTGGGGTACCAAGTCTGAAAAACGCTAACTCAGAATTATGGGTAAATTATTGAGAATTCAGCTTTTAACAAATGGATTGACATAATGACTGCAACAATAGGTTTGAACATGGTGGAGACTGTGAGAATGGCAAAGGATAGAGGAAAATTTCAATATGTTTTTAATAGGGTCACGGTGAGTCTTAATTGATTCTGCTACATATAACAGCAATGTGTGTTCAATATGTGAGCAATTCTTCTGTTTTTTCAAAACATTCTTTTCTACTTAAATAATTCAGCTATTGTTGTTGTTGCTATGTGTCGTAGAGTCACTGTGATTCATAGCGACCCTATGTACAACAGCCCTAAACCCTACTCTATCCTGTGCCAATCGCACTGCCTCTGACACACCCATCCCGATTCCCCCACTCACTGAATCAATCCACCTCATAGAGGGCCTTCCCCTCCTGCGCTGTCCCTCCACCCTCCCAAGCATGATGTCCCTCTCCAAGGACCTGTCCCTCCTTACAACATGTCCAAAGTATGTCAGATGAAGCCCCAGAATCCTTGCCTCCAAGAAGCAGCTTGGTTTAACCCTCTCCAGGATGAATCTGTTTGTTTTCTTGGCAGTCCATGGTATATGCAATACTCTTCTCCAGCACCACAGTTCAAAGGCATCAATTCTTCTATCCTCCCTAGTCATTGTTCAACTCTCTGATGCATAACAAGTGATTTCAAAGACCAAAACCTGTATCCGATGCACCTTAGTCTCCAGAGTAACACCATTGCTCTTCAGTAACCTGGAGAGGTCCCTAACAGCAGACTTTCCCATCACAATACGTCTTTTAATTTCCTGGCTACTGGTGCCAAGAGTGTTGACCGTGGAGCCAAGCAGACTAAAGTTGTTAACAATCTCAATCTCTTCACCATCCATCCTGATGCTGCCAATTGGTCCAGTGGTGAACAGGGTTTTATTCTCCTTATTTGTTCTGTTTTTCAGTTAGCATGTCTCAAAATTAGTAACTTCTCTGAATCTACACAGCATAGTCATCATACTGATTGCTTTTTGAATGGTAGCTATAATGATACCTTAGATTCGAGAGAATCCTGCTCACAGAATCTTTTGCAAACATCTTTGTTCAGACAATAAAGGAAAACTAAAGAACTTTTCATGTGATAATAATGAGAGGATCTAATCAGGGGTAAAGGTGCACATCTTTTTGTGATCACATTAGGTAGTAGTAATTAATAGAAAATGTTTTCATTCCTTTTAAAGGAAAAGCAAGATGTTTATGAAAAAGAATCCAAGTCTCTGGACTCTCTGAACTGCCAGACAATCCGATTTTGCCCATATACAGAAAGACTTCTGCTTGTGGTATTTTCAAAATGTTGGAAGGTATGATAGAATAACATTATAACTACCAGTGACATAAATGTCATCTGTTTGTCTTCAGTACAAGTCTTTTTTAAAAAATTGTTTTAATTAATCAGTACAAGTCTTTTAAAAATATGATTTAAATATTGCCCAAATTCTATAATATTTTTCTCAGAACCTAACATTTCTGTCTTTTGTACTGATATTTTTTCAAATTTCCACACCATGTGTTCAGCGTCTTTGCTTCCCAGGACAGTGTGAGTTTTCTAGCATACCTAATTTAATTAATACCAACCATAATAACAACAATAAACATTTACCTCTTAGTTGGCAGGATATGCTACCTTCACTTCATGAGTAGAAAGACAGCATTTTTCACTTGCACAGACTAATCATCTTTTTAGACTGTTTCTGCTTTGACACTGCTTTTGTTTTTACTAAATATGCATTTTTCTTTCATATAAATATATCCGCTGGCTAATTCAAGAAAAAGAGCACCAAGAAGTGACTATTATTTGGTACTTCTTTTCCTTCAGTATCTCATAAAGGTGCATCAGTTATGAAAACTGATTAAGAAATTAAGAAATATTGTCTTACCTGCGTGATAATAATAACTTTTTGAGCACTATGTTAGTGTAATAAAGAATTTCTGTTGTAGACGATCTTTATATAATAGATAGTCAAATGCTAAACTTGAACCACATACTTAGAAAAAAAAAGTTATGTAGACATTTGGGAATTTATTTAGTTAGTTATTTGCTTAATTTTAAAATTATTTAGCCAGAAACCTTGCATGAGAAAATGTAGAACAATAAATGCTAGTAAAATATCAACTTGACACAGTGAGACCTGTTTTGCTGATGATGTTCCTATATTCATACCACCATCTAAATAAATAGTCTTTGTAAGCATAATTTATCTTTTATCTCAATGGAAGACTGTAGATTGTAAGCTTCTCTTACTGTCTGTCGTTAACGTTTTGTTTTAGGTCTATGATTATTGTGATTTTTCCCTCCTGTGGACTGAAGTTACGACAAGTGGGCAGTTCTTTGCTGGTGGGGAGGTACTTGCTGCTCACAGAATTATCATCTGGACAGAAGATGGTCACAGTTATATCTATCAGCTGCTGAACAGGTGGGCTCAGATGGGCGCAGCATACAAAACATTCAGGTAGAAAATGAACTTTGGGAGGTTTATTATGGAAAAATCCCTGCATGCTGTCCATGATCAAAAACCAGAACAAAACAACTTTGGCACTAGAAGATTTACCCTGGGCTTGGTAGGCTTCAGCTTTTGTATAAAACAGCAGGGGATGAAGGAATGAGATTAACCATGTATAGCTTGTACAGCTGGTGCTGGGTTTTCAAAAAGTCACTTGTAATTATTACCCAACAATTTCTAACTAGAGTTTAGAAACTTGAATGGTACCATCCGGCTCTTGAAAGCCAAAGGAAACACACATACGTACACACAAATGAATAAAGAACTCCAAAGTTCTAAACTTGGTTTTTTATTTTTGTCATGTAGTGGGCTTTCAAAAAGCATATACCCTGCTGATGGAAGAGTACTTAAAGAGACCATTTATCCTCATTTACTCTGCTCTACTTCTGTGCAAGAAAATAAGGTAATACGAGAATAGAGTGACTGTGTCTAAGTGTTGCTTTGTCTGTAACAGAGTTGGGCTTGAAAAAATGGAACTGAAGCATCCCATCAAATTGTTAGCAAGAAAATCAAGTCTAATTGTTAATGGCTACTGAAGAGAAAACTGTGTCTTTAAAAATTCTTTAATTTTTATGCCTGATGGACTAAATGATACATTTTAATGTAGTAAAGCTATAAATGCTAAAAAGGACAGTAAGAACTAAAAATCTTACTTTCACCACCATAACATACTTCAGGCAATTAAGAAAATATTTTTTTATATTAACTTGGATGCTTTCAACTACTTATGGGTGTTATAAGAATATTACAATCATTACCTTTATATTCTTCACCTAAATTCACTAATCATTGAAATTTTTCCACATTGCTTGTTTTTTTCTAAATATAAATATACATGTGTGTATATATAGTATTTACCTATACACACATATATGTAAACACACACATATAGATTGAAATACTTAGTCACACACATAAAAACTCCTATTCATTTTCCACTGGCCCTTCTGAAAGATAGGTTGGCATAACATTCCTAATATTTAGTATTTCTATTTTCAAATTTTATGATATAGGATTGTGCCTTATCTTTCTCCCCCATCTTAACTATGTATTGAAATAATTTTCATACAAATTGAAGTATTTTAAGTAAATTTCCTTAGTGTAAAAGAAACAATCCTAAAAGAAAGTTGGTGCTATAAATGCAATTTTATAACTTGACTGAATTATATCTTTCATACTCTACAAAAACAAATGCTTTTTACTATGTTTTAATAGTGTTATCCAAAGAGGTGTATTATTTTTTTAGCCTATTATACTTAGTCATCAGATAATTATAAAGAAATATGCTTAAAGAGGATTGAGGAGTTTGGAATTTTTTTAAAATTTTTTTTTAACAGAATAATGGTTTGCTTAGTTGAGCAGCATAACTATTGGAAATCCTATATTCCAATGACTTGCCCTTTCATGTATCTGTAGTATTTTGCTGCAGAAGCTTGATTATGAGCTGTTAGCCTAAAGTTAGAATACAGTGTCACTGGGGCACAGATCCACCCAGAACCTTGGCATCAGGATCTATTCTAAAATTATTTGTGGGTGACACTGGAGCTTTGTTTCTCTCTTATCACAAAAGTATTGTGGTAAATTGAGAAAGGAACTTTTAGTTATATTTTTTAAGATCTGTTCTTTGTTCTTTTCTTTCCTTTCTGTTTTACCACTAGAGAAAGGACACAAATCTTATAAGGAGCTGCCTGCTTTGTTTCTCAAAATGTGAAAATAATTCTTATTGGCTTGATTAAGAACTATCACCTAAAAGTTCATCATACTTTTTAAAAGTTCTTACCCACAGCTGTTTCTGTACCTTATAAGTTAGGACGGCCTATAAGCTAGTGAAATAGGAATAATCCGAAATTAAAAGAAGTTGTTTTATCCATCATTAGAGACCCTTGGGTTTTGGCTTTCCAGAAAGCAGAAATCAGAAATTATTTAAAAAATCACAAGTATCCACTATAAGAATTCTTAGTTTTGCAGTCAGTCAGCAGATAAAGGCATAGTGATGGATGGGAGATCGAATTGACAGACACATTGAGTTAAAAAGAATGCTCTCTAATCATGAAGAATTACCCTGAACTAATACTAGGGAATAATCAGAATTCACATGAGTGAGGAGCTATAACTAGAGAGGGAACTACATGTATTTTTTTTTTTATATTTTTTAAATTTCCACAATAGTAAGTTGTGATACTAGAAGCAGCGTGTCTGCTGATAGGGTTCTAGGAGCAGGAATGAGGCCCAGTCCTTCTCTTGTCTATGTTTTGTGGGCCTCCCTATCTTTACATCACAGCTGATGCTTGTTGTGATCTGTGGTAGGGGTTCTGGCTTTTGCGAAGGCAGTAAAAGTCTCAAGCAGAGAATAAAACTGCAGTGCTGAAGTGTAACAGTGAGGTAGAAACAGACTGAAACTTGGAAATAAGAAAGTGGGTTCATCAACTGAATAATAAGGATGACAATAGTGATAGGTAACTTTTACTGAGTCCTTATCATCATCAAACATACAAACTACTTATTATCTATCTATCTATCTATCTATCTATCTATTTTTCATTTCAATGAACATCTACAGAGGTTTTGGAATTCCATTCATTCACTGTTGCAACCTTCTCCTCGCCCCCCCCTCCCTTTGCTCCTCTCCTTCAAAAACAAAAATCCCTCATTGGTACACAATCCCTCCCGCACATCCCCCAACCACACCCCCAACCCCAAATATAATCCACTCTGCAACCCTCATTCCGTACTCTTACGATAAACATAATGTCCTAAAATATAATACTTTTAAACTATTCTCTCCCCCATAGACCTCAAAGCCGTAAACATATTTCATTCAGTTTTTCTCAGTCTTACCCCCACCCCGATGTCAGCCTCATTCTACAACAGTGGCACCATATAGCATTTGTCTCTTTGTGAAGATAAAATAGATGAATGGGACCTTCTAAGAATCAAATCCCTATGCACATCCAGAAACTTCTCTAACAGGGTAAAAAGGGAAGCCACAGACTGGGAAAAAGTGTTTGGTAATGACATGTCAGATAAGGGACTTATATCTAGAACTTATAAAGTACTTGAGCACCACAACAAGATAAAGGTAAATAATCCAATTGAAAAATGGGTACAGGATATGAACAGACACTTCACCAAGGAAGACATTCAAGCTAACTCTTTTGCTTCAGTCCCCACCATTACCTCATTTTGGAACTAATGTTCAGAGAGAATTCACAAAGATTTGAATCCAAGCACTCTTGCCGCTAATTCTGGTTTACATCTTCAGAGTGAGTTTCTCAGTTGAGAAATGGATACCAAGAACAAGTAATATTTCTTGTGCATGTCCTAAATACTAAGCACCTTGCATTTTTCAACTCATTAACCTTCACTACAATCTCATATAAAAGCAACCAGCTAGTGGCTTTCAAGTCAATTCCAACTTGTGCTTTATTCTTCTTTTTTTCTTTTTCTTTTTTTTTTACGGTTGGCATAATGAAATGCAGCAATGTTAAGTCAGATGCCCAAATTAAATAACTCGCTATTTTACTAGAACAAATAATATATGCAAAACCAGGATTTGAATAGGCCTGCAGTTTGAAGTCAAACTGACAAGTTTGCTTCAAATTTTATAAGGACATTTTTAGTCTTGAATCAGAGATTTTGGTTTTTCTTCCATTGAATTTTATCTGGGAAGTAAATGGGGAAATTCCAATTGTTTAACTGCTAAATCTTGTTTTTCTATTTGAAAACAGTGGCTATCTCTACCTTGTAGTTAGATAGTTTCAGGGGACAGCAATCAAGGTCAATTGGTCATTATCCACAAAGACAATGTTCTACATTCTACTCTGGTGAGTAGTGACTAGGGTCTTTAAAGCTTTAGCATGCCATCTGAAGTGTGACTCTTGATCTCTCTGTGTTTAGAACAAAGAGAGGAAAGAAAAGCAAGGATGCCTAGGAATAACATTAGTCCACTAATGGACTACACGAACTTCAACCTCAACAACTCTAAGACTAGAAAAACTACATTGTGCTCAACTATCTAGTTGATTCAAAAACAGGGGGGGGGGGAGAGAATCAACGTAGAAGGTCCTGGACTGGGCAGGCAAAAAAGTGGAACAATAATCAAACAAATAACCCAACAAACCACCACATAAAAATGGTCTGGCTTTCTGTAGAACCAGCGAAGTAAATATTCTCTGAGTTTATGGCCCTTAGTCACCCTTTTAAGCTAGAACAAAATTCACTTATGTGGCTAAAATTTCAGTCTTACTTATAAGGTGAGTAATAACACCAGGGAGGCACTAACTCCTTAGAATAAGCAACCTCATGAGAGAAAAGGGGTAGCATTTGCCCAAGGATAAAGCACAGAAGGCAGGAAGGAGTAGAAGAGAAAGGATAATGGAAATAATAATCACTGGGGGAAGTCGGAAGAGTGTGATTACATTGTGGGTATTATAATTAATGTAAAAAAAACACACAAAAAAAGTAATTCTTTGTTTCTGACCAGAGCTTTCCCTTTGTTATGGGCTACATGAATGAAAGGAAAGAGCCCTTTTATAAAGTCCTTTTCTCTGGAGAAGTCTCAGGAAGAATTACTTTGTGGCACATCCCAGATGTTCCTGTTTCCAAATTTGATGGTTCTCCAAGAGGTAAAACAGCTTTCATTGTAATGTGATGTCTACTGCCAAGAAAACAAATAAGTCCGTTTTGGAGAGATTGAAACCAAGTCTCTCCTTGGAGGCTAGGATTTTTTGAAGCTCCATCTCACATTCTTTGGGCACATGGCCAGGAGAGACTAGTCTTTGGAGAAGGACATCATGCTCAGAAGGGTGGAGGGACAGTGCAGGAGAGGAAGACCCCAGATGAGATGGATTGATATAGTATTTGGGGAAAATGTGAGTTGGTGTGTCGAAATTAGGGATATTGGCTCTGGAAAGGGAAAGGTTCAGAGCTGCTGTAAATATATGGTCGTTATATGTCACAGGCAACTCAACAGCACATAAAATATAAAAGCAGCAAAAACATACTATATTGGTTGTTTTCTATTTAAGCCTCTTGTTAAGAGTGAACAAGACCTCAGGGAGGGCCTTTGTACTTAAAAGTTGGTTGTTATTATATTTTGGAGAAACATTCTTATAAGTGATACAACACTCTTCTGTCAATATGCTGTATTGAGGTAACCTGGGGTTGCTGAGATGCTGAATGTTGTGCTGGTGGGGTGTCAAATGCCATTACCCCTGGTGGACAGTATTTGGTGGAGCTTCCAGTTTGAGACAGGTTTGGAAGCACAAGTGGCATCCACTTTCTAAACAACATGCCTCTGGAAACTCTATGAACTTTGATAAATGACGATAATTATAGAAATGCTTTAGGCCTTTTGTTCATAGGGTTTCTATGAGTCGTGCTAAACTCGACAACAATCAACAACAACAACTGAGATTTTGTTTACAATGGTATTTGTGTTTTCCTATGTTCTTTGTAAGATTTTTTTCTACCATTATCATGAAATTATTCTTACTATGTTAGCTAAAATATGCACCTATATAAGCAAGTATAAACATTATTCTCGTACATCTTACATAACAGTACAACTGATACAGCTCAAATTGATGTCAGTTTAACATACTCATGAGGCCAGCTTTATAAAAGTATTTCCTTGCTCCTGAGAATTAGGTATGACTTTGAAATATTCAGTTCTTAATATCTACAGACATCCTATTTCTTCGTAAGGAGCTGTGCTGCAGTCCCAAACTATGCAGTTCGAATCATTACTTGCTTCATGGGAGAAGGATAGGCAATCTTCTCATTTGATTAACTGTAAAACCACCAGAGGGTCAGCTATGGGTCTTTTCCAACTTGATGATACACAAACCAATAATTAAGCATTGCTTAGTTTTCCTCTTAACTTGCCAATGCAAGTAGAAAACCCATAGTATCAGTCTACTATTTCACATCACTGTAGGAATTTCCTAGTATTTTCCATTGACCTAAGTCTCAAGTGAATTAAAAAATCACACTGTTACATATTAGATGTTAATATTAGAAAAACACCTTCTTTTTAAATGTACCTATTCTTCTGGACTTTGGGAGGACACAAAACCAATACAGTAAGATTTTGAATGAAGAGAATTATTGATAAGAGGACTCTTCTCCCTTAATACAGCAAGGATCTCTTTGAGGCTCTCAGGGATGGTACATTGACAATATTTTCCATATTTATGTGATTTAAATAGAATTTTTTTTCTTCTTCTTAATTTTCTTTTAGAGATTCCAATAAGTACCACCTGGACCCTTCAAGATAATTTTGATAAGCATCATGCCATGTCACAGAGTATTATTGACCATCTTTCTGGGACTGGGGCTACAGTGGTCACTTCATCAGAGTATGTTCCAAGTCTTGATAAACTCATATGTGGTTGTGAAGATGGAAGAATTTTCATTACACAAGCTTTGAATGCTGCCAAAGCAGGACTTCTGGAAGGCGGTTCTTTATTAAAAGGTCACTGAATTTTATTTGACCTTATTTATTTAATTTATATAAGCATCAACTTCAACAAGCATTATTAAAGATGATAGTAAAGATTTAAACATTTGCTGACATTTCCTGGTATATCTGCACACATTTTGTCTTTAAAGTAAAATATACGTAAGATTAAAACTAAACCAAGACAAGCAGATTATACAATAAGAAATATTTTTTGCTTTTAATAATCCTATTCTTTTACACTGCAGGCACCTGCAAATAACAGTTTCTATAAGTGCATTGCAATAGATCAACATGCATTCTTTTAACTATATGACACTAATGAGAAAATATAATACACATTTCACCTAAACACTGTATTTGAAAAACCTTAATATCTTGAAGAACTTTCTTTAATTTAGATGTCAAATAATATTTAAAATTTAGTTTTAGTTAAATTGTTTTAGGCTTGTAGGTTTTGATTATCACAAAAATATAGAATTGACTATCTTTGTACATATGTGGTATGTTTGTAAGAGTGTAATTCTAGTGACCCTATGAGTACATATGTGTAGTAAGATAGTTATTATACATTTACAGAGAATTGCAATATCTAAGTTTATGTGAATTTTTGTTTTTGAAAATAGTTCTAAAATGTTCTGCAAAGAGATTACCTCCATATATGTGCATATTTACTATCACTTTAATGAGAACAGAGCAGGGAAACACTGCATGGTTCAAAATCAAGAAGGGAGTGCATCAGGGATGTGTCTTGTCTCCATACCTTTTCAAACGATATGCAGAACAGATAATTCAGGAGGCTGGGCTTTAAGAGGATGAATGTGGCATCAGGATTGGAGGAAGACTTGTCAACAACCCATGTTACGCAGATGACACAACCTTGCTTGCTGAAACTGAGGAGGACCTGAAACATGTGCTGCATAAGGTTAAGAACTGCAGCCTTAAGTATGGATTGAAGCTCAACATCAAGGCAAAGATTCTCATCACTGGACCAATTGATAACACCATGATCGATGGAGAAGAGATTGAGGTTGTGAATAGTTAAGCTTGTTTAGCTCCACAATCAACATTTTTGGCACCAGTAGTCAGGAAATCAAAAGGTGAATTGCATTTGATAAATCTGCTGTTAGAGATCTTCCCATAGTACTGAGAAGCAATGATGTCAGTCTAGAGACTAAAGTGGGCCTGATCCAATCCACGGTCTTTGCAATTACTTGCTTTGTATCAGAGATCTGGATAAAGACTAAGGATGATAGAAGAAGAATTGATGCCTTTGAGTTGTGGTGCTTGAAAAGAGTCTTGAACATTCCATGGCCTGCCATGAAAACAAATATGTCTGTCAGAGAGGGTGAAAGCAAGTTTCTCTTTGGAGGCTATGATTTTGAAGCTCTGGCTTACATACTTTGTGCATGTGGCCAGGAGAGGCTAATCCTTGGAGAAGGACATTATGCTCAGAAGGGTGGAGGGACAGCACAGGAGAGGAAGACACTTGATGAGATGGACGGATACAGTAACTAGGACCATTAGGGTAGCTGTGAAGGAATTAGTGAGACTGGCTTAGGACAGGACAGGCTTAAGAGCTATTGTACATAAGGTTGCTATGAGTCGCAGGTGATTTGACATCACAAAACAACAACTAGCAGAATACTACTCTCCCCAAATGGTTGCTTAAATAGTGTATTATTAAACATTTTAATCTTTGCCAGTCACAAAAAAGAGTATCTTGTTTAAATGTTTATTTTTTCATTATTAGAGTGAACAAAAATAGAAAAATCTTCTTGCCTGTGATTTATAACCTGAGAAACCCAATGGAAAGTTATCTATGAATGGGTTCCAATTCAATTGTCTTTGTTGCTAAGTCACGTCGAATTGTAGACGACTCATAGAGACTTCATGAATGAAAGACCTGAGTACTGTTTATAGAGTTCCCAGAGGCAAGCCATTTCAGAAGTGGATGCTACTCCTGCTTCCAAGCTTGTTTTAATCAGGAAGCTCCACCAAACACTGTCCATCATGGGTAACCATTATCATATTTGGCACATGAGTGTCACAGTGTTTAGCATCACAGCAACCACGAGTTATCTCCGTACAGAAAT